AAAGTGTTGAACTGGGCTTTCCTTGTTGGTGCAATGGGTTAAAGCACTGCATTATGGAGCTCTCCAAAGTCATTGCAGCACGAGTTCGATCCCCACCAGGGAGCTGACCCACACAGCGTGGCAGACCTCTCGTGACTGCCAGCTGCTCCTCTCAGCAGTGTACTTTGTCAGTCTGCCTATTCTGAGAAATTGTAGTTGGGATTGATTGATAATCAACTGACAACTCAAAGCGGTTTTTATTTTCTTAAAGATTTATTTATTTATTCATACGGAACTGGAGTACAGGCCAGAGGCATAGGGGCGGTGAGGGGATTTACTAGAGAAAGTGGGGAGCAGAACAGCAGATTGTTGCTCCCACTGCTGAGGGGAGCAGCAGGTGAAGACAGGAGAGGTCTGCCACACCATGTGCATCACCTCCGGGCCGGGGATCGAACTTGCACTGAAGTGCTTTGTCTTAACCACTGTGCCACCAGGGAGGGCCCTAAAGCTGTTAGTTTTTTTTTTTTTTTTTAAATCATGGCTTTTATTTTTTTAAAATTTATTTATTTGTGCATACAGAACTGGGGTACAGGCCAGAGGCTCAGGGGCAGTGAGAGGATTCACCAGAGGTAGAGTGGGGAGCAGGACAGGCTGATCCACGAAGTACACTGCTGAGGGGAGCAGTGGGCGGGTCAGGAGAGGTCTGCAGCACCTTGTGGGTCACCTCCAGGCAGGGATCGAACTCATGCTGAAGTGGCTTTAGTTTCTTAGTGCTGTGCTTTAAGCTGCTGTGCCACCAGGGAGAGCCCAGCTGTTAGTTTTTATGTGACGTGTTTGCATACTAAAAGAGAGTCTGTAACCCTTTAGTGAAATTGTTTACTTCCACATTGGCTTAATTTTTCTTCCAATGAACATTTAATTATTCATGCACATTGCAAAGATGTGAAAGCATCAGGATAGTTACATATAAAATATCCTCAGCTCTCTGTAAAAGATCATGCTTAGTGAGATAAGCCAGAAAGAAAAGGAAAAATACCGGTTTCACTCATAGCAGGAGTATAATGGACCAGGCGAGAAAATAATAATAATGAACAGCTATAAACCAGCGACATTTTATGGGGGTGGAGTGGGGAATGGGATCAAAGACGTGGGTGGGGAGGTAGGGGTGGGGTGAAAAGTACACTGGACTATGGTGATGGCACATGGGTGATTTGGTGATGGGAAACCCAAGGGGATTGCAACTGAGATGGAAAAAAAATGTACAAAATGATGTAAAAATAAACTATTATATTATTAAAAAAATATCTTCATCTCTCTATTATGCAATGTTAATATATTTCCTCAGAGATCACTTTTTAAAATTAAAATACTAATTAAAATGCTAATTTTAAAAAGTGGGAGGGTAATTTTCTAGGGCGCAAACATCAAATCTCATAAAAAGTGGCATTTCTTGGCCCTCCCTGGTGGCGCAGGGGGTTAAAGCACAGCACCAAGAAGCTAAAGCCACTTCAGCATGAGTTCGATCCCTGCCTGCCCCGGAGGTGACCACATGGCGTGGCAGACCTCTCCTGACCCGCCCGCTGCTCCCCTCAGCAGTGGACTTCATCGATGTGCCTGTTCTGCTCCCTGCTCTGTCTCTGGTGAATACTCTCACCCACCACACCTGTGGCCTGTACCCCAGTTCTGTATGCACAAATAAATAAATCTTAAAAAAAAAGGCATTTCTCTCCCAATTGTCATCCTTTCACAGCAGGGAGTCACTGTTACAGTTTTGCTTGTCCTTCCAAAAAGTTATATATATACATCTATATATATATAAATATATGTTTATATAGTTATATATATATATATAGTTATATGTACATGTGTATGTGTGTATATATATATGTATACACATACAGATGTATATATTACTATATATATAGCTATATAAACATATATAGTTATATATATAAGTATATAAACCAGTATGTATATACATTTTTCTCTTTACCTTTACACAAAAGGTAAGTTTTTGCATTTAGTATTAGACTTTTGAGTTTTAGTCCATTTAATAGTATATTTTTGAGCTCTTTCTATATGTCTTTCCTCATTTTTTTAAATAATTGATATTATTATAGGTGAATACATTATTGGATTATACTTCTCTGTATCAATTTAACAAAACTTACACTGGTCCCAACCATACTATAATGAAAATCCCTTTCTATAGCTCTATTTCCAGGTATGGAACTATTATGGGAGTGTGGACATCCGAGAGAGAAATCTATAGGAAAACATCTACCATTTTGAAAATAATGAATTTTCTTTTGTAGCAATGAAATTAATTTACACTGTCACCAGCAAGGTTTGAGTCTTCTGTGACACATTCTCAGGAAGGACATGTGTTGTCACACTGGACTGTACTCCCTAGTCTGACGAGTAGAAAATCATATCTCATTGCATCTTTAAATTACATTTACCGGTGAATTAATTTAAGCATCTTTTATAAGTCTGAGTCATATGTATTTCTCCAAACTTTCTGCTCATATCCTTTGCCCATTTTTTCTATCAGGTTATTGACTTTTTTCTTATCAGCTTGTGTTAGTTCTTTATCAATTCGGGAAAGTATCTGATATATGAGTTGCAGTTATTTTCCTGGGTTTATCTTTTGTCCTTTGGCTTTGCTTATTGCAGTTATGTTCTGCATAGGTTTGCTTTTACTTATTGGGGGGTGGGGGGTTTAGGCTTTATGTTACTTTTGAAAGGTGTATGTTTATAATTTTTTTTATTACTGCTTTCCTTAGCACTTTTGCAGTTTCTTGTTTTTTTACATAACTGCTTATACATGACTAATTAATAGAGTCATTCTAGCTCTTTTTGGTCAAGTTATTATTTTTTCCTTTGAAATATTTATTTCATGTATGCATACAAGAGCTGGGATGTAGGCCAGAGGTGTGGGGGCAGGGGTGAGAGGACTCATCAGAGACAGAGCGGGGAGTAGAACAGGAGATACATTGTTCAGGGGAGCAGTGGGGAGACAGGAGAGGTCTGCTGCGCCCTGTGGGTCCCTCCCTGGCTGGGGATTGAACTCGTGCTGCAGTGGCTGTAGACAGCTTCACAGTGCTGAGACTGACCCCTGTGCCACCAAGGAGGCCCCCAAGTTACTATTTTTTTGAAAAAAAAATTCAATCTTACTTATTGAATATCACATCTTTTCCCCCCTCCCCATGGCATATTATATTTTTCGTGATATGAATTTTCATGAGAATTAGGGACTTATTTAGAACTTCTATGTGTTCCTTTGGACTCTCATTCATGTTTGGAGGGTTACTGGAATTAAGAATTTAGAGTAGGATTTTATTCTCCGTGAAAAGTTGAATTTTCCACTTAAAAAGCATTTTCTTTGTTAATTTTCCGAATGGAATTTGTAAGAATCTTTACTAGTTCTGAAATAAAGTGTGTTTTCTCTCTGGCATAAAATTCAACTTATGACTTTATTTAGGGGAACTGATATCTTTATATAATTTTTCTTCCTAACCAAGCATAAGTAGATTTTATTATTATTTTAAAATATGTTTTAGATATTTAATTTGCTTAAAGATTATTTTTAATCCTCAAAAATGTTTTCAGCCTTCATATAAGTCATATATTTATTAAATTACTAGATTTTTTTTTAGAATCTCATTATTTTCATTTTACTAATAGATGTGGTCTCTTACACCCATGTTTTCAAAATAGTTGTATTGTGAAAACTACTGGTTTCTATATATAAACTTTTTATGCTACTACCTCAGCTTTTATTTGGATTTCTTGAATAGATACTGCAGACTCTGCAAAGTTGATAATTTTACCTCTCTTTTCCAGTTGTTGAATTCCCATTCTTTTCACTTGTCTCATTGGGTTGGCTAATAACTCTGGTACAAAAAGTTAAGACAGACTAGTAGTCATCCTTAATTTCCTTTGACTTATGTATGAATATTATTAATTTTCTCCACTACGTGGGTTGACTTTTGGGTTGAATTTTATTTTCAATACAAACACTGAATTTTGGGATTTGGAAAAAAATATATTTGAAGCACAAATCTTGACTTAGCATTTTTTATTCCCCAGTGGCAGACTACTCGACGCATCAATTATTGAAGTTTCAAAGGACAGAAAAGCACAGACAATTTTCAGCACAACCCATGAAAAAAATAGAAAGGCTCTTTAATATTTTTACAAATGTTATTTTACTTAGCAGAATCTCTACCCTTTAAAAATTGGGAGTCCTTCCACACATCAATGTTTTCTTATTTACAAATACATATAGACCCCCCTGGGGGCATTGCTATTCAGTTTTTCTGTGTAGGCAGATATCACACGGGCTTAGCACCAAAATGTGTACCTGGGGTTACATGGGGGGGAAGTTCAGGGGCTCTGGGAGCTCACCTGAATGCCATTTTGTGGACACAGACGTGTCTGGAGATGTCTTGGGCTATTCCTGAGGTAGAGTTACAAAGCTCAACAGAGCACAAAAAGGAAAATACCCATGAAAAGACAAAGTGGTGATATGATAACACAGTAGCTTGTGAATGCAGACAGGTTATAGAGGTGTCCTCAGAACTGGGATGAAACCTTGCAACTCTCTCAGAGAACTTGACAATATACAGAGATATGCTTAGTGAAAGAGGAAAGAAAATGTGACAAGTCACTTATGCTGTGTCTACTTTGGTAAAATAAACATACAAGATAAGTCTGGGGTGGCAACTCTAGGCGACTGGACGTGCCTCGTGGTTTGACTCTATCTGTTGTCATGTCCACACGTGACCAAAACCAGCATGTTCCAGTCGGGACCACTCACCGACATGGCTTGGTTAATTGACCGGCTATATCCAGTTCACGGTGGGGGGGGGGCGGCCATGGAGGTCCAGTCCACACCTGGGTTTGCTGTAGTTTTGTGTAGGCTCCCAAGATGGGGTTTCCAAGTTCCCTGTGGAGTAGCTGAATTCATGCTATTCAGTGACTTGGTGAACAGCACAGACCTCCCTTGAGGCCATCAGTTAGAGTCTTCTTCCCTTGGTGACACTTGTGGGTTCCTCTGGTTGTGGCCCATATGGATTTTGCTGTGGAGCTAAGATCTGCACTTTCTTCTGGCATTTAACAGAGGAGATAATGTATATGCTTCTCATTAGGAAAATCCCAGCAATGACAGCAAAATAAGTACCATAAACTAGAAACTGGAGAAAACATAGAGTTAATTAGACTCAAAGTTGACCATCCATTTCATTGGCAAGTCTGTTGATGCTGTTGATTTGTATGGATCATGGGGTCACTGACACTTAGGATGTTAATGGGGTCAATTAGTTTCCCACAATTCCTTCTCTCATCTCAGATGACTCAGGCACGAAATTGTAAGAATTGCAGGAACAGGTTAACTGTGGTTATGGGGCCAGGTTGCATGGGCTCAGACGTAGCTGACATCACCCATAGTGAGAACAACAAATCCTGCTGATTCAGTGTCCATGCTGGGAGCACAGGGCAGCGCTATGTGAGGTCCCCACGAGTGAACTTCCACAGTGAGGGTATCTCATAGCCGCCTCACCTCCCCTTTTTTCAGATCCACACACAGACTGAGAAATGGGGCTAACTTTGTGTTCTTAATGGAGCAGGCAAAAGGGGACAAGAGTTCTGCGATTGTGAACCCCACCGCACCCCAGTAAAATGCAGTGAGCATGGGGACCTGAGGGCAGGAAGAGGAGACATGGGGACACGAAGGGGAGCGTGTCACTGTGACACTGTAGGAGTCAAAGGTAAGTGCTGACCTGTCATGAGAATGTCAAACCTACTTACTGTGTTGATGTGAGGAAGGGCCGATTTTGGTGTCTGCCCAAAGGTGGAACTGAAAGGCTCTAATGACTGGCAGTGGTAAGGCTGAAGGACACCTTGAGATTGCCTAGCTACCCTACACCCCACAGCGACATGGGAGGGAGCCAAAGTTGTGGCAGCTCACCTGGATGTTGACTGGCAGGTTGAGTCCCCTGGGATCCACCACAATCACAGTTATGATGGTCTGAATCACCAGGGCCAGGAAGGTGTTGATGCCAAACACCAGGGCGTAGCGTTCCACACTCAGGTTAACCGCAATCTGGAAGCTACCAGGAGACATAGCGCACGTTGACAAGACACACTTGAGACTGGCTTCAGACAGAAGCTGAGAGGAAGTGTTTCTTATTATCAGAGCTTTAGGCTTCATCAACCCAGTATAGACAAACCAGAGCAAGATGTGAGCGAAAAAGTACAATTACAGAAGAAAAATATGTTTAAAGGAAATACGGCAAATTCCTCCTCTCCAACTTAATATTTCCTTAAATCTAAGGGTTCTAGGTTCTCATGACTTGTGAACATTGGGTGATATCTGATTCTAGATTCTGTTTCACGGTGAATTTTTAGGGAAATGCACGCAATATCCAAAGATGAATTTTTGAAGTTATTTCTTACAAATACCATTTGTTTTGATGGTTTCTAAGTTTGGTAAGTAAACTGTTCTTAGTAAAATCCAGTGATAGGTGGGTTGTACAGTTGAGTGAATTTGTAATTTATAACTTACTTTTAATAATTGCAAAGACATTGAAATCTGATTACAAAACACTATGGAACCTGCCAGCTTTCGGTAGTCAGAGTCCACCTTTGGCAAACAGGTAGAAGACTGGGTTCTTGGTGTCTTAAAATGGAATGGACTAACATAATCTTACCTTAAAATCCTCACACTCAACACATATGAATTTGATTTATTAAGCTGACACAATTCAGTGAAACTGAGTAACTGCTAACAAGTTTTATCCTGTTCCGTTTCTTTATAATTTCCTCCCATATACTCATATTTTTATGTTTTATCTACTGTGTAGCAAATATTCTCACAAATTAAAAACCAAAATTTATAATGCTTTTGTCTATGTCTCCCATGTGATTTGAAATCCCAATGTTTCTTTTCTTAGGTAAATATCAAAGTACATATTCTATAGTGAGCTTTCTCTGCATTTGCAAAGGAAACCAAAATGTTAGTGGTTTTAAAAAGTGATCTCTGGTATTTACAGTTTCTTTTTTTTTGGTAACTGTTACATCTCTTTTTTCCTTATCCAACTGTTAATATTTCACACACATGCATGTGCCTGAAATAACTCAAGCAACTATTTGAAATCAGGGATGAAATGTACACTTAATCAAAGAGAATCATGTGGGACCACATCACCACATGAGGGTAAGATACTCCAAAAGACTCATCCCAGCCTGATGATGGCTGTTGCTACCATTTATGGGCCTGTACAGCAAGCTTTCCTTGATGACAAATCTCAGCAAGACTCAGAAGACTAATGGCTGACCCAGAGATGGTTTAATTGTACCTAATTTGAAAGGAGTAATCAACATTTAATACTGCAATACATTAAAAGTCTTTGGAAGTTCTCAAAGGACCTATAGGAATCAGAAAAGAGAATGTGATTTAGCTTCAGGAGGGGAAGGCAGTGCTGGGATACTCACGCCGCTATGGTTATAAGAAGCATGTAGCTGGACTTGAAGATCAGATAAGCAGCGTAGCACGCCCAGATGCTGGTGGTGTGATGCATGAGGAACAGAGAGGCTGCGTTGACAACCGAGAAGATGGCCAGCGCCAGCTCCCCCAGGAGATCCCAGTTGACGTTCACATGACCCACTGCCAAGGCGGCCACAGCCCCTGAGAAACAGACACCAGGAGGATCGACCTTATGAGAGGTACACAGGAGGTGCCAACACGCTCCTTTAACACCCAGGTTGGGCCTCCCTGGTGGCCAGGGGTTAAGTCTCAGCGCTCACACCAAGGCCTCAGTTCGACCCCTGCTCAGGGAGTGACCCCCAGGGTGCAGCAGACTTCTCTGCCTCTCTGGCTGCTCCCATCAGCAGTGGATTTCAGTAGGAGGATTGGGCTACTCTGCTCCCACTTTCAGCCCCTGCACCTCTGGCCTACACCCCAATATCTACGCAAAAATAAATGAGTAAACTCTTTAAACAAAACAACTTCCAGGTTTCCAGTAATTGTGAAGGTGAATACATTATTTTCACAAAACAGCATGACCTGCTGAAAGGTCAATTTCTCCTTTTCTCAACTGTTTCTTTTTGGCGCATCTCTTTATTTCTTATTCCTTCAATCATTGAGTTGCAAAAATGTAATCAGCATCAAATTCATTGCAAGCACTGCACTAAGAGGGGGGCTCTTAGTTCCCTGCCTGGGAAGAGAGGACAAGGCTGGCTGTCACTTAACACCAGCCTCTGAGGGAAGGGTCGCGGGTAAGCTAGCTGCTCTGCACAGGCGCCCAGCCGTCTGCTCCTGCCTCTCCTTTTTGTTTTACATTATCATATTTTAAAGGCTGAGTAACAGATATGATCCATTGGGCAATAAGTGTTAGTCTCCATCATTAATTGTAATCTTACGCAGTCTCCTTCCTTAAGGCCTTCAGAGGCTGGCCTATTTAAAGTGTTGGGTGAACAAACCTAGATTGATTGGTAGTGTTGAAAGACTGAATAATTAGCAGCAATTAAAGGTAGTAACTATATATTGATGCAGAAATCTATTCATGCTTTCAAGTTATTGATATTTTATGAACCTTTCTATCAATGATCTAGGGTAGAAGCATTACTACAGAGGAAGCAGAACAATCTCCACGCAGAATTTGGAATGAAGGCAGAGGTATCTCAGTGAGCACATTCAGCACAGTCCTGTTTCCAGGAAGCAACTGAGGCCTCCCCAAAGGGAGGCAAAAATAAAACAGATGCTACACACAAGGTCCCTGGAGCATGTTGTAAACAGGATGTGGAAATCTTCTACTTCCCAGAAAACACCTTCAAACGCTGCTAAATTTAAGTTTCCACTTACCAGGATAGAAATATTGTAAATGCAAAGGCAGGTTTCCCTCTGACGTTAGGAACCCCACTCTCATGTGCCTCCCATTTAAATCTCATAAGAAAATTTATGAGAGATTTTTGGTGTCTACCCCAGAAATTGCTACAAGCGACTGCAAGCTAAGTGAAATCACTTACTAACATACATATTCCAGCAACAATTTCAAAGTCATCATACTTCAATCCACTGTCTAAAATAATAAAAACCTATAGACAAGATGTTTCTTTTCCTTCTGATATTCAGAACAATCCTGGAAGCATGGGAGACTCTCCTAACTCATTTCCTGACGCCCACACAGAATCCTAGGATTGCGTCGTATGAATTTAATTGCTGCTTTGTCCTGAGCTCCTGAGTTACCTATCATTGTTACTTTAAAACATAAAATAGTCACGTTATTTTCCAGTGCCTTCCACTCCTAAAAAATATTGCCATTCCTTCTGAATTTCCAGATGTTGGCTAACTGGCGCCATTAAGCACATGAACAGCCTATGAAAGCCGACCGGTGCCCGGTGCGCACTCACCCCCGAAGGTCGCCAACGCCTCCACCGCCCCATTATAGACCAGAGAGTCTTGCGAAGCGGCCTTGGAATCCCACAGGACCTGGATGTAGTTCACCACCTGGTTGTAGCCCGCCGTGGAAGACGCCCACCACAGGGACCAGTAGAGCAGGCGCCGGCAGGAGTAGCATTGCCTCAGGTCACGCACCCACCGCACACACACCCCCCACGCCGAGCTGTCGGCCCTGGCGCTCCTCCCCCGGCCGCCGGCCAGCTGCCCCGAGACGGTGGGCACCCGCGAGGTGGGCTTCTCCTCGGCCCAGCCGGGCGCCTCCCACTCAGGGGCCTCCTCCACCGCGGCCTCCCTGCTGGGCGACTTCTCAACTTCCAGGCTGCGCTTGGCATGAAAAAACAAGCTCTTCCTGGGCATGGGGAGAAAAAGGGAGCACAGGCAGGCCAGGGAGACCGAGGCCAGGGAGATGGCGTTGAGGTAGAAGTAGGGCAGGCGGGCCAGGGACACCAGGAGCTGGGCCAGCACCGAGGCCACGGTGTAGGCCGCCAGCGTGACGCTCCTGCAGTAGCCGCTGACCCTCTGGTAGTGCTCGGGGCTGACCACGCTGTAGATGTAGGCGTAGTAGGCCACCTCGGTGGCCGTGACCATCCCGAAGAAGAACTCCATGACCTGCATGGCCTTCACTCCGTGGGCGAACAAGAGCATCAGCCAGGTGACGATGAAGCTGACCCCCTGCAGGATGATGACCGGCTTGTAGCGCAGGTAGTCAGTGAGGATGAACACCGGGAGCAGCAGCAGCAGGTAAGAGTACGTCCACACTGGGAAGACCTCATTTGTGATCTGCGGAGTGGAAGCATCAGGTGACCGCGAGCCGCAGAGCGAGCAGGGTCACCTCAGACATGCGCTCCTCGGACCTGTGGGGCCCACGAGCAAGTTCTGCGTCCCCGACTGGACAGGTAGTCTGTGATATCATGGAAAAGCACAAAAGGAATAATAATAAAAAAATCCCTGGGGCAAGAAAACTACCTCTTTCTTACAATGAGAAAATATTTCTATATTTATAGGCACCTCAGTGGAATGTTGGCTTAATGTTCAATCAGGACTGTAGTAAGTAAGCAAGTATGCACATTTGAGTTAGCTGAACATTGTTCATAGGCTTATTACAGTTATTTAGGGTCCTGAAAGATGGCCATTCCCATCTCGTTCAAAGCTTAACATTAGATCAAACACCTATAATATTAGGAAATTCAGTGACCTCCAGCCTTCCAAGGTCTGCTTTGAACAGGTAAATCAACCTGCAGAATTATGATGTGGAGACGATGTAATTCATTTTCTCATGGTCAGATTTCCTGTGCTCTGATGTTGCTTTGTGGGGAAGCAGCATTGGGAGCAGGATGGAGGAAAGACAACTCAAAGTCTAAGAAGGGAGAGGCCTAGAGGGGCTCACACCTGTGGAGGGGTGCCTCTCCCTGGGTCTCCCTCCAGCCTCCAGGCTCACATTTACTTGGGGGTGAGACTCCAGGAAGGTGGGCAAATCCGAGGAGGAATAGGTATGTTAGGGATGAGGACTGGGGATGCGTAAGTGTCTGGCACAAGCTGGGGGGTTGGGGGGGTGAATAGGGGTTGTTGTTTGGGGGAGCTTCTCTGTTGCTGCTGATCAAGACATCCTATCTCTATTCCCTGTTTACACGTCACTTCCTGTGGTCTTGCTGATTGTGCTAAAATGGCCATCATGCTGCCTGCTGTTTTCAGCAGATATCCTCATACCAAGACGTTGTGCTGGCAAGAGTTCCCTGCCAGACTATATTTTAGCTCGACCAGCAGCAACTTTGAGCAATAAGCAAAATGATAAGAACAATTGAAACCTCTTTCCCCCCAGCTACAATGATGTCACTCTTCCTCAGTCTGGCATCTGTTTACTATGGGTCTCTGGGGACTGAGTCAGAAATGCACGCGTCTCCCTGTTCAGTCCTAAAGGGAAACTGCAGAGGCTGTTGGTCTTGGGGGCAGGGTGTTTGCAGGGGAAGACTCCCGCCTTGTTCTGTGCCCCCCGCTTTCGACAGCGCCCTCAGCTGGTCCCGTTGTCAGTGAAGAGGAACCCTCAGCCATCTGAAAGTCTGGAGAGCTGGGCCAAACTTCTGAGGGCGGCCCAGGGACCAGATCCTAAGGATCACAGAAGCAACCCAGTGGGCTCCGGGTCCACCCTGCACCTGTGTATTTGCATGAATCGTGACACGTGACTCCTGGCACCGTGGGCTAGAGTTGTCTCCACCTGACTTTAGCACAGCAGAACAGCTCCCTCTGCCCTCACCACTCACCACCCAGCAGCCCCGCCCGCGGGCCTTCCAGAGGCCTGGCACCCTGCAGTGTTTTCTGAGCTCTGGTCCCAAAACCAGCTGGGGTCATTCTCCAGCCGGGCCAGTGCAATTTCTTGTTGTAAGAAAGAGGGAGAGTTAAGTGAGAGAATTTGACCTTCTGGGGGAGATAAAGCTCCCAGGGAAGTCAGCGTCTTACCTGTGGTGGCTGTTCACAGCCCCACAGTGCCCCCAGCAGCTTCAGCCCCGCCTCACACTCTGCTCACCCTGAGGCGGCCTGAGAGCTTCACCCAACCTTTCCTGTGTGGGCGACTCGGTGTCAGCCCGGTGCCACAGGGCCGCGGGGACGGGGCTCCCCACAAGTTACAGATCTGCGTCCCGGGGCACGTGTTTGGTTTCTCACTTGCAGTGTGAGGACGAAGGAGGACTTTGAACAGTTTTCCTACCTGACAGATGCGTGAAAGGGGCTGATGGAGGTCGGGGTAGCTACCTGTTTGCAGGGACGGGAGTCCCGGCCCTCTCTCCTCGTCCATGTCCTGCACACTTTAAGCACAGCACGACGTGTGTATTTACTTACCTCTTCGCTGGTAAGGTTTTTACTTGGGCCTGTTAGGTATGGGGCAAGGAACGGTTCCGAGGGCCTCATGGTGGAGAAGAATCCATATAAGCAGAGGATCACAGTGGGATAAATCCAGGAGGAGCTGGGCGACGTCTGGAAACAATCCATGACTGGTCACATGGAACAAAGCACAATGACCCGTGTTTAATCCAGCCGTGGGCTCGTGAGGAAACCTGACACCGTACAGGAGCGAGGGGGGTACACAGACATCTTCACAGCTGCGCGCAGCTGGCAGGGAAAGCCGAGTGATGAGCAGCTGCTCTCACCTGTCCTAAGGTGAGTCAGTGACTCGCACTCTGGTGAGGACTGTGTCATGCATTACTGCAGGTGCAGCTCACGTGTTAGTGTTCTCGGCGCACACGGGGATGAGCAGCTGCTACGAAATGGTAGAGAGAGACCGTGAAGGCTGAGGGGCAGTGAGCAACATCTAGCAAGATATCGGTGGCAGGTAAGCTGTCTGCAGGAGGCCCAACCCAAGAGTACCATGGGCGAGCAAGCCCTCGATGTCCCTCCATCTTTGTGCTGTGCTTCTGAAATGTTTGCACACACAGCAACCCCTGTTGGTCACACCCTTTATTCTATTAGTCTGCCCTTGGTCCAGATTGGCCCAGACTGACCTCCAGGATGATCTGCTGCGTGTCTGTGAATTATTCTTCAGTTTAAAAAGCAAATATTGAATTTAAACCATACCTTGACATTTTTTAAGATATGAAATTCCATAGTCCTCCCATTTACATACCAGAACTAAAGCTATGTTGGGAAAGGAAAGTGTTTCTTTTTATACTGCACTTTTTTTTTTTCTGGGTCCATTTCTCCTGCAAGTCCACAGTTTCATCTCCAGTGAGGAAGGTAGAACATTAATCCTTCTTATCTATTCTTAACCCTGAAATAAACTTGCTTCAAACTTTAAACAAGAAGTCTGGTTGGAGATTTCATTAGTTACTGCACAGAAAACAAAACAAACTGAAAATATCTTGCTTTTTCATGTGGGTTCAGTGTGCACAGGAAAACTGACTCTTATCTGCTCATATTTTGGATTGGATTGTATTCTGCTAAGGTTATATACTCTTTGTGTTCTTGGATGTGGTCAAGTTCTCTGGCATCATTTACAGAAAAGAAAATATCCTGCTTTCTGAATCCTTTCTTTTTTTGAAGCTTTATTTATTTATGCACACAAGAACTGGGGTACAGGCCAGAGGTGAGGGAGTGAGAGGAGTCACCAGAGTCAGAGTGGGATCAGAACAGGCAGACTGACAAAGTGCACTGCTGAGGGGAGCAGCTGGTGAGACAGGAGAGGTCTGCCATGCCATGTGGGTCACTCCCTGGCTGGGGATGAACTCACGCTGCAGTGGCTCTGACAGCTTCCTAGTGCTGTGATTCAACCCCCTGTGCCACCAGGGAGGGCCCCGAATCCTCTCTACATATTATTTCTTAAATTCTTTTAATATTGGGGCCCTCCCTGGTGGTGCAGCAGGTTAAAGCACAGCACTAAGAAGCTAAAGCCACTTTCACATGAGTTCGATCCCCACCCACCCGGGAGGTGATCCATATGGCCGGCAGACCTCTCCTGACCCGCCCGCTGCTCCCCTCAGCAGTGTACTTCGTCGATCTGCCTGTTCTGCTCCCTGCTCTGTCTCTGGTGAATCCTCTCACTGCCCCTGCACCTCTGGCCTGTACCCCAGTTCTGTGTGCATAAATAAATAAATCTTTAAAAAAAGTCCCTATAATATTGGGCAAGCTTATATCGTTTCCCCAAGTGAGGCCATGGATGTTTATAAGATGGTTTCAAGCCATGTAGCCAAGTTTGGATCCCAGGTAGTCTCGAGCCACCTGGCCCTTCTTGCTGCCCCGCTCTTCCGAATCCAGCGTCCTGTCATCCCGATGCTGGTATTAACCCCGTGCCCTGTCCTTCCGGTGGGGAAGAAAGTATTTATGACACACCGACACTAAGCACTGTGGCTTAATATATGGAGAGCTCCAGGGGAAATGGGCCTGACAGTGGGTCAGAAGGAAGTTCATGCTCGCTCCAGAAAAGCGTGGCCCCCGGGCAGAGATCCAGGCAGCCTGGCGGGAGGGGGCTTTTCGAGAGACTGGAGGGGTACCCCCGGCACGGAGCTCTCTTCCCACTCCCCTTAATATTGTGGCCCAGACAGCGCTCGGTTGCTCTTTTAGTTAAATCAGGGAAAAGCAGTTTCTTTTTAGTCAATAAAACCTTCGGGCCCTCCCTGGTGGCGCAGCGGGTTAAAGCACAGCACTGAGAATCTAAAGCCGCTTCCGCATGAGTTCGATTCCCGCCTGCCCCGGAGGTGACCACATGGCGAGCCAGACCTCTCCTGACCCGCCCGCTGCTCCCCTCAGCAGTGTACTTCATTGATCTGCCTGTTCTGTTCCCCACTGTGCCTCTCACCGCCCCTGAGCCTCTGGCCTGTACCCCAGTTCTGTATGCACAAATAAATAAATCTTAAAAAAAAAAAAAAAAAAAAAACCTTCGAAGAAGCAGGGCAGTGACGATGGGCTGATCCCAGTCAGGCCGGCTTGTGAGCAGGACTGTGATCTCCCTTTCGGTCCTCACGTGGAGGAAACGCTGCTCCCCACTCTGTGCCTGTGACTCTGAGCATCCGATTCCGTGAGCAATTTCTTCCTATATTTACAGGTGCAGACTTACTAAGCTTTTTAAAAATCATTTTGTCCGTTGGCTGGACAGTGTTCGTGTCCTTGTTTAACAGATGGGGAAACTGAGGACCAGAGGGGAGGAAATTTTATGATAGTTGTTATGTTTTTTTTTTACTCAATGCATGTGCTGATGTAATCCCACTGCTTAAAAACATAAAATAAGAAAGACCTGCTGAGACTGGCAGCGGACGACACCTGCACCTGCATGAGTGTTTGTGATCCTCACTCACCTTCACCGACGCCGTCATTTCCCACAGGGACTTCTGTCACTCCAACTGTTGGAGCTGGTCTCCAGTAGTCACTGGCACTGAACTTGCCGAGGAAAGAAGAGGACCCAAGGTCTACTGGAGTTCCTCACAGCACACCTGTTTACATCCTCTCAGACCTGCTCTGTCTGGAGCATCACAGCCTTAGGATAAAACACCCCCTGCAAAGTGTCTTCTACCTAGAGCAGCAGAGAATACGCCTCTCCCCAAACAGTCCACTCGCCATGCGGATTATTTTGAGTGGAGAGCCGTGTGGACCCAGCGGACTCGGGAGCACTTTCCCTTCTGTCTCCCTTAAGAGCCTGAGCTAGGCCACTAGAAAGCCTATTCCAGGAAGCAGCTGTCACCAGCGTGACATACAAGGATTATGAGCTAAGTGTAACAGACTGGGAGGAAGTTTGCAAGACCTGTGGTCAAATCCTTCTCTGTTCTCATCTCTCCATGGCACAGCAAACAACTGTTTACCAAACACTGGTTTTCTCCACCGTCCTGCATATTTTCTTCTGCCCTTTTGAAGTCCCAGACCCTGACTCCTTCCTCCCTAGCTCAGGAGCGTGTGCGATACCCAGCCCCTGATGATCAGGCAGCCCCACGTCTTTGTGGGAGTGCCTATAAGCGTGAATTAAGTTAGTTTTTCTCCTATTAATCCTCATATCATTTTGATACCAGACCAATCAAAGGCAGAGGAATTTTTTTTTCTTCTCTTAGACTACTTTTGTATTGCTTCATGTTTGCCGCACAATTTTGTTCTTCTCCAAAGAGCACCTTAAACTGCCCTTTGTTTCGCTGTATCCACCCTGGCACCGTGAGCTGGGTGGTTCTCTGAAATGAGCACTTCCAAACACAAGACGTCTCCTTACCCTTTCGCAATTTCCAAATAAGATACAACAGAGTCTAGATTAAAGTTCATTCATTTAAAAAAAAAAAAAAAGATACACCTTTCCAGGGTTTCTCTTGTGGACTGACTCTTCTCTCTCACTCACTCACAGGCTCTGGCACCACTTTTAAAAAGGCTCAACAACACCACACGGGCCTTAGCTTAACAGAAGGACAGCGAAGGACATTCTTCTCCAAACCTAAGTCTGTCTACCAGGCCAGGGAACTTGAAATCTAAGTGAAGATGCCAGAAGGAACAAGAGGATCGGCTGCTCCTTCTAGCAGAGACTTGGTGCCGCTGAACCCACCGCGCAGCTTACCTTGGTGGGGTGGGCTTCTGCGCTTCTGGGGAGAGAGCCCTGGCTGGTGGGGGCGCGAATGCTGACCTCAGTCCCTGGTTCTCTGGGCTGCTGTGGCCCCAGGGAAGGTCCCAGCCTTCCAGCTCCGCCCACCCAGCCAGCCTAGCACCTCCCTCCGTCTCGGTTGCGCCATCCACACTAAGTGCAGCCTGTCATGTGCTCTTGGGTTAAAGTTGGGGTTACCATGCAGCCTGCGAGGCCTTCATTGACCCAAAGAGTACCCACACTTTGGCACTGGAAGTGACCCATCTAAATTAATTTGGAAACGTGTTCCTTTCCCTTTCTGCTGTCAGAGGCATACTGATTATTTTTGCTAAAATCTACAGCTTTGCCACCAACACTCTCTAGTGTTCCACTACGAAGTCTCCAGTCTCTAATTTGGGTTGTTTCCAGAGGGACCTTTCTCACCGTATGTAACACTGCAGACTCTTCAAATTAACAACTGCTTGCTAGCACGTTTCATTTTTTAAAAAATAATACAATAGTTCATTTTTACATCATTTTGTGCCTTTTCCCGTCTCAGTTGTCATCCCCGTGGGTTTCCCACCACCGAGTCACCTGTGTGCCATCACCATCGTCCCACGCATTACCCTCCCTCCCCCATTTTTGATCCCGTCCCCCAGTCCACCCCTGTAAAATGTCTCTGTATACAGCTGTTCATCATTATTACTCCTCCCCACCCCCACCCCACTCTGGCCCTTTATGCTCCTGTTGTGACTGAAACCATCTGGTATTTTTTTTCTCGTTCTTTACCTGACTTCATTTAGGTGTTCATAGATGCTTTCTTAATCTCCAAAGTTTATGATTTATCTCTCCCGTCCTTTCTTATTCCAATTGTGGCCATGTCCCTGAATATCTCCCTTTCCTTCTTCTTTAACTTTCTTTACATCCTTCCAACAGGCTTCAATCAATGTTCTTTTCTATAAAAATGTGC